CTTGAAAAACAAATCAGTTGCTGGTTGTATCGATAAATGTACATTTTATTTTATTTAACACACATATGAGTTCTTTTGTTTCCTATGAGAAACATCCAGCTGACCCCCCCCCCCAACCTCTGACCTCTGTCACATCGGTGATGTCAGCAGGAGCTGGGGGTCAAATAGTAACTCTCACTGTGGACCTTGTCTCTGGAGTCAATCCAATAATAATAATAATACTAACACAAATAATGATATTTATCGATGTGATGATGTTATTGATCATAAATGTTCATTGTTAAGGATTCCAACTCGTGACATATTTGAATCTCACAGTTTTAATGATACTGGGAGTGTTGGGTTCTGATCATGTGACCAGTGCCCGTTGGGTTTCCTGTTCACTGGTCACACAAAACACAAAGTGGTGGTGGGGGGGTGAGAGAGGGGGCTCATGGGTAACAAAGGCGTCTTTCCTCGGAGCTGCATAGCTGAGTATCACCATGACGACAGGTGGAGGGAAAAGGGGACAGAAGAACCACAAACTACATTTACAGACACACAAACACAAACTGCAGGACGCAGTCATACACAAGGTCCTGGTCTGGTTTCAGGCCTTAGTTCTAGACCAGAACCTTAGGATTTGTGCAGTTACAGAACAGAACTACAATGGTCTTAGTTATTTTCTGTATCCTGGTCCTAGTCCTGGTGCTAGTCCTGGACCAGGACAACATACAATGTATGTTGTATATGATTATTATTATTATGTTATTATTCTGAAATGTCTTCAGCCTTTTGAGAACATTAAGAGCGAAGCTGTAAGTTAGTTCAACGTAGGCTACGTCCCTACGACTGCGTTTTAGTTATTGATATTGATTTTATTTAATAAGTGTAAAAAGAATCACATGTGGACCTGTTTCAGAACGCAGGTTTGACAAACAGCTAAAAGTGTCAGATAAATAATATGTGTACTATGCGTTGCTAGTGGATGTGGCGTAGCAAATGCACGTGCCCTTGGGCGAGATTGTGTGTGGTTTTCCGGTGTCTCCATAAGAAGGTGAACGTGGCTCCAGAGGAGATCAGGTTAGTTATGCTAAAGACTTGATGTGAATGTTGTGTGTCTGGACACTAAATTATATCAAACAAACAATATGGAGGCTTTTCGTGTTTTTTTCTGTTGTTTTATTACATCTGAAGAAGAGATCGGACCCCCCCCCCCCTACACACACACACAAGCTGCTCAGCCTGGATGTCCTGCTGCAGGGGGGGGGTGTCGCCCTCTTAACATTCAGTTCAGCTCATTAATGCAAAGCTGCAGTGGATCTGAATGAGTCGCCTTTGTCCTGTAATTGGAGCTGGTTCTGTGGCAGCCAATGAGAAAGCAGGACCCCCTCACCCCTTCCTCCCCCATTGTGTAATGTTGGTTTCTGGGAAATGAACCAATCAAAACTTAAAGTGGAGCAACAGCAGAACACATGATGTTCTTCTGTTTAACATCTGGACAAATTGTCTGGAGAACAGGTGACAACGGAACATTGAATCAGAAACTTCAACGTGAAGACGAGTGAAAATAATACATAAACTGTACATGTTATACAAGTACACTGAGAACAAAGGGTTCTCCACAGATCACAGGGGTCTCCACAGATTACACGGTTCTCCACAGGTCACGGGATTCTCCACAGGTCACAGGGTTCTCCATAGATAAGAGGGTTCTACATGGATCACAGGGTTCTCTGCAAATCACAGGGTTCTCCATAGATCAGAGGATTCTCCACAGATCACACGGTTCTCCACAGGTCAAAGGGTTCTCCACAGATCAGAGGGTTCTCCGCATATCACAGGGTTCTGCAGATCACAGGGTTCTCCGCAGGTCACAGGGGTCTCCACAGATTTCACGGTTCTCCACAGATCAGAGGGTTCTCCACAGATCAGAGGGTTCTCCACAGATCAGAGGGTTCTCCGCAGGTCACAGGGTTCTATGCAGATCAAAGTCTTCTCCACAGGTCACAGGGTTCTCTGCAGACCAGAACTGATCCTTGATCGGCTTTAGATGACTTCAACAGCTGCTGAGGCTCATGGGTAGTGTAGTGTTCTTGAATGAGTCATGTTGATGTAATACTCCCTGCTTATTAATATTTTAAACCTGTTTTAAATCTGGTTTAATAATTGATCATATGTGGTTTTGAAATCTGGTTTAAACATTGGAAGAATGTGGTTTTGAAAGTGGAGCTGAAGAGAAACAGTTAACTGACAGGAGTTGATTCTGTGGTCGACTGGAGCCAAACAACAAAGAAACAATAAAGGACCAGAGGACCCCCCCTCCCCCTTACCACCCTCCATCCCCCCGGCCTCCTTCACATCGCTGGAGAGGAGAGAGTCCATTAACCATCAACCATCCAACATCAAATATCAAACATTCAACTTCCAACAT